CAATGAATCATCTAATGACCTTGGTTCAGCCAGCTATTCAGCAGTGTGCAGCAGTAATTGGGGGAGACACAGCTAGAAAAGATCTTCAGTCAGTCTGGAACTTTCTTTAGCATTTCAATAAAGTGTAGGAACAGAATGATGGCAAGCCGTACTTTATAACATAATTTAATCTTGAAATATTCTTTATACCGGTACCCAGCCAATGCCTTTAACAGGAATTCCTCTTTGCTTTACTTTTCCAATCTCCTGAAACATGCTGCATCAATGTTAGGGTCTTATTCTGCTTTCAGATGCAGTTCGTTCGCAGCTTCTTTGCTGCGACTGTCAGGGCAGCAGCTTCACCTTTGGGAGCCTTTAGGGAAGCTCCTTCTTTAAATCCAACCAGATTTTGAGAACATTTTTGGCATTTCCAAAGTGGGTCAGTCTGTAAGATAACTACTGCCCTTTTCCCTCAAGGAGGATTTCTTTTTATATCTCTCCACAGCTCCCCGATGTGTGTCATGATAAATGGCAGGAGTTACAGTCGATTTCCCTTACTTATGAGAGGCAAAGCTGCGATTAGATCTAATTTTACTATTATTAAACTAAAGCTTCCCTTTAATTTAACCTAAATAATTTCTAAGGACATGCTTAATCTTCTGTTTGCGCTACGAGCAGAATTTAAACAATATACCAACATTTTATTTCTGCATCTCTTTGAATGAGAGGCTGAATTTCTAGTCTAAAGTTGCACTTTCCTGACCTATAGGGAGCGATGATCATCCAAAGAAGAATAAGGCATTTAGGAGTGCAGAGTGTGCAGAGAATCCAATCAAACCAAAGCATTTGTCCTAGTTCCAAGGATTTTCATCATTGCCGTCAACATGTACTTCAGATTTGGCTGCACTGTAGCATCCATCATAGCTCGAGCTTTATCAGAGCCAAACTCTAAAAAGCTAAATTCGACCCCTTTGCAAGATTTTGTTTGAAATCCTTTAACTCCTCATCAAAGTTGTCTTTGAAGAAAATTTTGGACAATTCACATTAAAAGCATTTAGAATTTGCAAAGACATGAACTGAACCTAATGTGATAAAACTGACATAAACATGCATATTTCAAAATTAGATGTTTTTTTTTTTAAATAACTTTTAAAAGACTTAAGAAAAAACAAAAAAACTGAAGAGCATTTTATAGGAAGCTACATTTCTGTGGAGTCCTGCACGGGACAAACGTTAGGACCACACAGAAACCGAACTTTAAGGATGATGGTTGTAACCAGAACATTGGGGAAAAACATCCAAATGGTCTGAATACTTTTGACTCGGCTCTCTAGTAATTTCTGGTATATTTAATTCCTGAAAAGTTTGAAACCACAGAGGAAGGACACTCATTGTAAACATCAAGCACTCAGGGATATTTCACAACATTAAACATCCCCCATTTACAGTGTTACCAAGGTAACATACCAATTAGGAGCAATATTAGTAATAGAAAAGGTTTGATTTTGCCCCGAGTAAAAACTTTAAATCAAACCTTTAGAGTTGATCATTAAAGCCTGATAGCAAAGCCTTTAGCCGGAGAACATCATCTCCAAACCACCTGTATCCCAAAACAGAACCCTGATTAAAAGAGAACAGTTTTATGTTTCTTAAGATGATGACAAAACTTTAAGCTTCAACTGACCGTTGTAGAAAAAAATAAATAAATAAAAGAGGATCAATCAAACTTGAGGCTTTGAAAAAGGTTCACCAACAAACAACAGCTCCAGCCGTTGTTTATTTATAGTTATTAGCAGAACAATCAACAGGCATAACAACAGCTTTTAGCTGGTTACATAAAACTCCTCAAATGTCATTATGTTAAATTTCTGCAACTCGCTTTTAAACACTCATAATCATGCCATGGAAAACATTACCTAAATAGCAGCTTTAGGGTATTATATAAAAAAAAATGCAATGCTGTGGAAACATATTTACTCCTTTATTTAGAAAGGAAATTAGAAACTAAACAATTGGTAAATATTTCAGTTTTAAAGGATGATTTTATTCACTGAGAAAAAAAAAAAAACACAACCTAAATGGCTCTATGTGAAAAAGCACATCTCTCCAAACATAAACAGGCCTAGAAATCACGGTACAGAAATCCAGCAAATCCTTTTTTTCTCAAACTGATTTATTTTATGCAAATTAGAGCCTTTCTGGAGCATCAATGGTTAATTTAATCTTAATTGGATCAAAATCTAGTCTTTGATTTTATCCATGTCTAAACCATTATCATGCTTCTTTGAGCCATTTGGAGCATTTTTTTCTGGGATGTTTTGGCTCATTGTCCAGTTTTCTCTAATCAATTCACAAAAGTTTGATCAAAACCTTTTTTAACCATTAAGATTTATGTGGACCGACTCATGGATGACATCTGTACCATCTGTCTCCTTCTGGAGACATGGAGACTTAAAGGTATAGTGGAGGATGCTGGTGAAGATTCTCAGTCATCCAGGTTATAGTCATTCAAAAAAAGTAAAAAAAAAACAATCCCCTGGACTTTGTTTCAAAGTTTGAAGACGTTTTGCTTTCAATCCAGGAAACTTTTTCAATTCAAAATGAATTGAATTGAAATTTTGAATTGAAATAGCTTCCTGGATGGGAAGCGAAACATCTTCAAACTTGGAAACGAAGTCTAGTGGAGTTTTCTTTTTTACATTTTTGGAATATAGGGGAAGATTTTTGCAAATTCTTGAAAGACCCGCCCTCTCCAATAAAAAAAAAAAAAAAAAAGTGCACAAGCACAACCCTGTACCCGCTCCTGAGACGGAACATCTATTAAATGCATGCAAGAGCGTGCACGAGCACACTCTGTTTATAAGTTGCTGTTTGCATTGCTCAATCAAACTTGCTTTCCCAAAGAAGATTTGAAATTTTCCACCATGTCAGACTCACCACCGGTAAGTGAAAATGGGGACGAGCACATAGGATGGCCTTACGTAAACATATTACCAGAATGATTGACAATGATGACGAT